TTCTTGTCACCCACTAAACCACATAGTATTAAAGACAGGAAGAATTTAAAAAGCAGTCCTTCCCCTGACTCTCTAGATGATTTTTCAGGGTGAAAACTAAGGGAGGCATGTTGTGGGTGGGGGGAAGGCGGTCAGACAACTTATTGGGCACTCTTTCTCCTTCCCTCCCTCTTTCGGATATTCGGATCCTTTTATAATTCATAAGCATGAATTATAAAAACACACTAAACTTCTTACTTCCTTAAAATGATTTTTCCAAAAAAACTTAGAAATAGCTATAGGATTCAATATGAAGTAATGGGGACTGGGTTTATCTTCCTGAATTAAAAAAAATTAAAATCAGACAAAATGTCTAACAGTTGTTTTTACACACTGGCTGTTATGCAGCACAGGACAGTAAATTCTGAGACATGGAAACCAATGAGGTGAGTCCCATAACTGTCCCCGCTACCTGCCTGGAGACATTTTCCAGGCTATAGCACAGGCAGGAAGACCCAGGTGGAACCTGGTTCTCTTCCTGAGTTGGGAGGGGAGAGTGGCTAAAGTTCACAGGGCAGGAGCCATCGTGGTGGCACAAGGGGTTACACAGCACTGTGAAGGGATCCCGGCCAGGGAGCTGACACACATGGCGCAGCAGACCTCTCCTGTCTCGCCTGCTGCCTCACAGAGGGGGGCCCAGACAAATGCTCTCTGTTGAAGTCACGCCTGCCCCATTCCTGAAGAGTGACCAGTGTTTCCTGCATTCAAGACTCCATGCCTAACTGCCTGTAATCCTTATGCCCTGATAGGGCCTTATTTATGCTGGGACTCTCAGTTTCTCCACCATCTCTCTTCCTACAGCTGTTTTTGGGTCAAATACTATATTACTTTCTTCCTTAAAAAATACCAAAAAAGTAATCGGCCTAAACAGGCTCAGAAATCTTACAAAGGTACATTAAAAAATTATACTGTTTTGCATAAGTTCAAGAAAGTATAGGAAAGATTACATTTATTTAGTAAAGACATGAAAGATATTTTTTTAAAGGCAACTTCTAGAGATGAAAAGTACACTATTTGAAAATAAAAATACTTTGGATGGAATTGACAACTGATTAGACACTGAAGAGTAAAGATTAGAGTGTTTGAAGTCATAATAATAGAAACTATACTAAATAAAGGCAGAGAGATTAAAAGAAAGGGGGGGGAACAGCATCAGTGAGCTATGGGACTGCTTCAGTCAGTTGTAACTCATATGTAATTGGCTCCCAGAGGAGCAGAGGGCATACAATACAGGAGTAAGTAAATGGCTGAATCCTGGAAGTTTAATGAGCACACAATTACAAGAAGCAGGAAGAAAACTATGCCAGAGCATATTATAATTAAACAGTGTTAAATGAGGAATAAAATAGAAAAAAAATTTAAAACATCTATGAGGGAGACATGTTCAAAAGGAACAAAGAATGACAACAGACTTCTTTTTGGAAATAATGCAAATAAGAAAACATTGTAACAATATCTTTACAGAACTGAAAGGGAAAAAAACTTCAATCAGAACTATATACTCCATGAATATATTTCAAATATGAATGCAAAATAAACTTTTGAAGACGTATAAAAGCTGAATGTATTCATCACAGCAATTCTTTGCTACAAAAAAAAATTTTTTTCCCTCAGAAGGAAAATGATACCAGATGAAAATCTGGATTCACTCAGAGGGATAACAGCACTGAAATGGGAAATATGTGGGTAAAAATAGAAGCAACTATAACTCATACCTTCAGTAACACAAGTCAAGAACACATGGTTCTAGAGACTGCAACCCTTCCCTCATTTAGGACTGCTTCACTAAAGTTTCTCAAGGATACCTAAGCTAACCCAAGCACCTTTATAGAGACATTTGTTTGTAAGTGATTGGGAAGTTATGGCATGTACGAATCCAAATCTAATCAATACAATTAAATCAAATATTCATAATTTTTCATATATTGGGAAGATTTCAGCTTATAAGTCATTTTCACTAGGTTGGTTTTGGAAAGAAAAAAAAAACCAGAAACATATAAGGGAGATAACAGAAATGTTTGCACAACAGTCACATAGCAGCTTTCAGCTGGGGAAATGTTTGAAATCCTGTTAGGATTTTAACACTTCTTCTACTGTCACTAGCTTAGAGTATCTTAAATAGGTAGACTGTTTTGCTTAGCTTTCCCAAAATATATGTTCTGGAAACCAATGCATTTCTTAATATTACAGCTTAAAAAATGTGTGCCCCTATATGCAAGCAAAAAATAAAAAAAAGTCTTGTCTTCCTTCATATATTTGCTTTGGAGGTGTTTGAGATCTTTCTGTCATCTTAATGAAAACCAGTCTTTAGGATATTTCATTTAAGAGAACTGATGTAGATTTGTTTTCTTTTTATTATGGTGATATTAGACATTACAATACTATGTAAGTTCTAGCAGTACATTTTCTTCCCTCAGCACTGTTTCACTATGCTTACCACCAAATAACCAGTCACCGTCAACCGCAAACTGATATACCCATACTCTCCACCTTCTTCTCCTCTGGTAACCCCATTCTGTTGTCAGAGCCTAAGTTTATTTTTTGCTTATTCTTTTGCATTTTCCCCGTTTATATTCAGCAAGTGAATGAAATCATATGGTATTTGTCTTTCTCCTTCTGATTTGCTTCATTTAGCATAATCCCCTCAAGATTCATCTGTGTTGTCACAACTGGCAATGTTATCTTTTTATGGCTGAGTAGTAGTCCATTGTGTTTGTATACTATAATCTGCATTATTATTGAGGCTGCTAGGCTGTTTTAAAATTTTCTAAGTGTTCGATACCTGGTGTGTTCCACTGAAGTGAGCTTGACTTGAGTTTATGTTCAAGAACGTCCATTTTTTTAAAGATTTATTTATTTATGCATATAAGAGATGGGGTGCTTCTGAACAGAGATCTGGCAGGGGTGGTGGTGAAAGGATTCACTCAAGACAGAGCAAGGAACAGAACAGACTGGCTGGCTGAAATACACTGCTGAGGGGAGCAGTGAGCGAGACAAGAGCGGTCTGCTGGGCCATGCAATTCACTTCCCAGCAAGGGATTGAACTTGAGCAGCAATGGCTGCAGATTGCTTCATTGTGCTGAGTCTTAATCCCTTGCACTACCAGAGAGGTGCCCCCCTTCCCTCATCTTTGTTCTCGACTATATTTGTTTTTTATAATAGAGTTAATATACAATGTGACACAACATTGAAAAGCTACAAAAGGACATATAAAGACCCAGGGGTTGAAGTCTCAGGACTATGAAGCCATCACCAGCCACTGTAGCACGAGTTTGATTCCCAGCCAGGGAGGTGACCCACATGGCACAGCAGACTTCTCCTGTCTCACCACTGCTCCCCCCAGCAGAGTATTTCATTGAATCCACCTGTTCTGCTTCCCACTCTATCTCTAATGAATCCTCTCATTTCCTTCCACCCCCATATATTTCTGTCCTATACCCCAGTTCTTATGTGCAAGAACTGTGTGTAAATAAAAATAAATCTTTAAAAATAAGACATATCAGTGAAGAGTATATCTTCTTTGTTCCCAGTCAGCATCAACAATGCTGTAAGAAAATAAATTCTTTAAAAATGCTTTTTTAAAAAGTTCCTCTGGGCCCTCCCTGCTGGCACAGCAGGATAAATTTAACACAGCACTAAGAAGCTAAAACCACTTGGCATGAGTTTGATCCCCGCCCCAGAGGTGACCCACATGGCACGGCAGACCTCTTCTGACCCTCCCGCTGCTCCCCTCAGTAATGTACTTCGTCAGTCAGCCTGTTCTGATCCCCACTGTCTTGAGAGGTATCTTGGGGCAGTAGTTTCTGAACTTTTGGATGCTTGTCAGCAGTCTGTAAGAGCTATAAGCTCCCTTCCCTCCATGACATATTTCCGTGTTGTAAGCTGCATTCTGTGGGGACTGAGCTTGCTTGGGTGCGTTAGGGCAACTAATGGCTTGTAACCACTCCCTGGGGATTTCCATTTAGAGGGAGATTGATCTTCAGGCAGCCTTGTTAAATCACCTCTTATCAGAGATCCCTCTTGTGATACTGGGGTTGTTTATTTAGTGGGAAAAGAGACTCAACAAGAGTCCAGAAGTACAAGAAAAGAACCTTTCCAAAGAAAACTAAGGTCTTCCCTTTTGAGTCATGACTTTGTGATCCCTAGGTTTTCTTCTCACTTGAGAATCATAGTGAGTTTCTATAATAACTACTTCAATAAAATTACTTTGGTAAGAGATTGAAATGACCGAATTAGGTTGTACTATGACTATATTTTTAAATTTGTATCTGTATAAAGTCAGAAAAGAATGTGGCCCTTTAGAAAGTAGAATTCTCAGGCTCTCCCTGACTATAAAGGCTCATAGAGTTCTACCCAAGGGGGCTAGAGGAGGAGGGACCTCTGACTAGGGCTGCAGTCCCCAAGGGGCGTAAAGTGTTGGAGCCTCTGGCTTGGCTTGGCTTGCATTGGCTTGGCTTGAGAGGGGAAGGGAGAGAGGGAGGGGAGGGGAAAATACACAACGCCTTAGAAGATCATCAGTATTGTAAAATATCTTTTGTGGGATCAAAGAGTAACTTGTCACTTTGACCTCTGGGGTAGTAAATATTCTCTGTGCCTGAAAATCCCACAACAGTGATGCCTGGGGGCAGTGACTGGTGCCGTCTTTCTTAGCCCTTGGGTACCTGGGCCCCTGGAGGAAGCAGGTACTGAAGTAAAGTAGTGAGGGGCTGGGCGCCTTGTGGGAATAGGTTTTTTTGGTTTGTTTTTTTGGTGTCAGTTATTTTTCACTCACATTTTATTAGTTTGTTCCAGAAACTGTCCGAGACTTTTAAAAATACATTTGCAGACTGCAGTGGAACTCCGTTCAAACGATCATGTTGAAGGAAAGAAACATCCAATTTATAGGCGTAATTATTCATTGCCTAATTGGTTAATTTATTCCATGTGATTACAATGTCTGAGACCAGCCTGTGGCACAATAATGAACTATGACTAATGCAAGTCTATATTAAATACCACGTCTTAAGGGAAAACCTTCACACAGATTCCTGTGTATCCTTTTGATGATAGTTCTCCTGTTTCTCTTTCCTGTCCCAGCTCACTCCTTAGTCATACTATGTTAGTACAGTCCTGCTGGCAGGCCCTTGAGTAACTCCATGTCTGAGTTCCTAAAAGCAGATTTCACTCAGCCAGTTGCCTCTTTTGCCGTTTTAGACATGGAAGTCACTTTATGATAAGCTTTTCCTGCTCCTTCTTCCTCTTGTCTCACCCATCACCTCTTTTGTCCACCAACGTTCCATTCAAATGGATTGTAACCACCCGGATCATTCAGCAGCCAAACCAAGTCACCCACCAAGGGGAAGGTCCCCCATGGGGTACTTACCCCTTCCAGACCCTTTGTGAGGAAAGCAAGATTTCCTCCGTGTGGCAGGAATCAATTTTCTACTTGTTTGGCCTTGTGATTGATAAGATGGGAAGTTTGGGAGAACTGGAGAGGAGATGGCAGTTTTAACGGAGAAAAAGCACTCAGTAGAAACTATGCCTTCTGCCTCCTTCGGGCGTGTCCTCCTTCTGGGCATCTCTTCAGGATTTCATTCCTCCCTCCAACTGCCGCTCACAACTGCCCTTTCCAACTGCTCCAGAACGCTTGGCCCTGGCATTCCGTGATGTAAATTATTCCACGCATGGCTCGAAATGGGCACGAAGCAGCGTTGCCAGGTGTCGGATCACTAGTGTGAGTTTCCCAGATCTCGGGGGAGGGAGGCGGAAGGGGAGAACTGCTCTTGGAATTTGTACAGTTGTTGTTGTTCGAGCCCAAACGCAGGCACTGCACTGGCTAGACTTGGTGCTGTTCTTGGCTGGGGAGGGGGGTCTGGGCGCAGTGCTGGGGTGAACTCTGGCTTGAAACTTTCTGCTTTGAAGATTCTAGTGTTGGGATATAGATTGTTTGGAATTGAACAGCTGGCAGTGCTGCTGCCGAGGGAGGAACCCGGGACCTGTGGGGCAGAGCCTGTAGCTGCACAGCCTGGGACTTGGGCAGTCCTGCTGTTTGAGAAAGTAGGCAGAACCGGCTTTTCTGTTTTCCTAAAGAGAGCCAGAAGGTGGCAAGAAATCCACATTGCTTACCCTGTTCGGAAACATCCTGTCACAAATTTGAAAGACCGCTGTACCCAGGAGATTTTTTTTCTGAAACAAAAAATATTTTCTCCTTTTATCCATTCTGTGTTTTGAGGAAGTTTCTATTCACAGTGTTACAGTCACTTTGGGGAAACAGCACATGAGAGGTTGCTGTCAACTATCTCTCATTTGTCTAGATTTCTTTTTTTTGACTTGTAAGTTAAGGATTTATATTCAGTCTGAACAATTTCAATTGCTTCATCACTTGAATGGCTGCAAAAATTTTAAGTCACATAATATCATGTCATAATAGACCATTAAGGGGAAAGCGTGCATGGATTTCACAGTTCTTTATCTACAAGAATATAGGGTATATTTTTATGTTACGTTGACACCACTAGCTTTAATGTGTTCTGCTGAAACAGTGCTTCCTTATTTCTTGTCTTTACAGTTGTCATGGATGATGATGATGACTCGTGTCTCCTTGATCTTATTGGGTAAGCTGCTCATTTCCAAATCAGGGTGAATCAAATGTATGAGGTTGGTTGTGATAAATCAGTGTAATTAAAGCCAGGTGGGTTTTTAAAAGAAGAAGTAATCGCCACAGACATAGTAGGGAGACAAATGAAGAGACATGGATAACATAGGAAGCATAATTAGGTAAACCTGTTTTAAATTTATCTTCTAAAACTCCCAGGAGACAAGGCCTGCCTGGTAGCCCCGGGGTTAAAGTCTCAGCACTACCAAGCTATGGCCAGTCACTGCCTCAGGAGTTCGAGCTGTGACATGAGGTCAATCCTCAGCCGGGTTGCTAACTCATATAGCACAGCAGACCTCTCCTGTCTTGCCCACTGCTCCCCTCAGCAGTGTACTTCAGTCAATCTACCTGTTCTGCTCCCCACTCTGTCTCTGGTGAATCCTCTCACCTCCCCTACACCTCTGGCCTATATACCAGTTCTTATCTGTATAAATAAATAAAAATAAATCTTCTTTAAAAAATTAAAAAATAGGGCCCTCCCTGGTGGCGCAGCAGGTTAAAGCACAGCACAAAGAAGCTTAAGCCACTTCCGCATGAGTTCGATTCCCGCCTGCCCCGGAGGAGATCCACATGGCGTGGCAGACAGACCTTTCCTGACCCCGCCTGCTGCTCCCCTCAGCAGTGTACTTCGTGGATCTGCCTGTTCTGCTCCCCGCTCTGTCTCTGGTGAATCCTTTCACCCTCCGCATCTTTGGCCTATACCCCAGTTCTGTACGAATAAATAAATAAATCTTAAATAAATAAATAAATAAATAAAAATAAAAATTCCAGGAGCAGAAATGAGTGATAACAGGAAATAGAACAACACAAAAATAATTAAGTAAAACAAAAGATTACCGATAAAACTGTCTTAAAATAGGGAGAGAATTTCTTTCATATTGGTATGCTATTTTCTTTTTACCCTAGTAAAAATGAATCCTAAATCCAGGTAATTACTTATTTGTTGTTTTGCGCTTTCTATTGTTTTCTAGAGACCCACAAGCACTGAACTATTTTCTACATGGACCTAGTAATAAATCTGTAAGTAATACTTAGAACATCACAGACATAATTATTTTCCTTTTTAACAGTCAAAGAAATCACTTTATTGCATTTGTCCCTTTGCAGAGCAACGATGACTTGACTAATGCAGGATATTCTGCAGCCAATTCGAATTCTATTTTCGCCAACTCTAGTGTGAGTATCAGAAACTGAATGCAAATATCAAGTGTTTCTGTCTTATTGATGCTTTCTGAATTGACACTGACTTGTCTTTACATCATGAGAACCTTTACCTGTATTTTGTAATAGACACATAGGAAAATCAATTGAATTGTGTTGATAGTTTCTACTTTTAACTTAGTCAATTAAAACAAACTATTTGAGATGTACATTACCATTTCCCTAAGCTTTCAATTGTCTTTCTAAAATGACTCAGAAATCATGACCTGGGAAATTCCTCTCAGATTGTTTTGAAGCTTGTTACATAAGCTTTAAATAACTTGTTCTTAATATGTAGTTACTTTCTAAGCAGTTTCATCTGAACAAGGAAAAGAATAATTATTACTAAAACTTACTGAACATTTAGTATGTTCTTGGTACTAAGGGTTTAACATTTGTTATTCTAATTCATTAATCTTCACAATAATTCCATGAAGTAGGTTCTATTGTTGTCCATAGCTAGGAGTTTCAGAGCTAGCTAGCATTCTAACCCCAGCCACCAGGTTCTCCTTCCCACTTTTTTTTTTTTAATAATATAATAGTTTATTTTTACATCATTTGTACATTTTTTTTTTTCACCTCAATTGTAATCCCCGTGGATTTGAGTTTCCCAAATGGGTGATGGGTTTCCCATCACCAAGTCACCTGTGTGCCACCATCACCATAGTCCCGTGCACTTCCCCTCCGCAACCCC